TTTTTAAAGGTTTTATTTCAAAAACTAATGATACTAGCAGGAATACGCTGTATAAGACGCTGCATTTGCAGAGTGCTTCAGTGCTTGTTTTGCTACCTTGAAGGCCAAAAGCTGCTGCTGGGCATCAATCTGCTGCTGCTGCCTTGTTGCCAGATCCTGCAGCTCACTCAGCGACGCATCCAGAGGAATAACTGAGAACTGCAACATGAAGCAAAGACAAAGAAAGGAGCTACATTTCTATATTCTGTTTCCCTCTATCCCATCCCTGTGCTTTGATCAAACAGCCTCTGCAGCGTGACGTCATCTCAGTGTTTCTAAAGTTAAAAACTCACCCCAGTCTTCCTGTTTCTTTCCACAGAGGTCTCCACCTTCTCAGTCCTCACTCCCCGATCTGTGGCTCTGGGCTCATCTGAACATAAAGGAGATGATTTGTAAAATTATTTTCCTTTGCCACTGAATCACTCTCTCAATGAATCATTTACCAACAACCGCTGGTGAGATATGGTAGAGTAGATAGACAGAAATGTGACAATAATCCCCAATCTTCTGAGAATGAAATATTCTGACATTCAGCGGTCCACTTGATTTTAAGCTGGTCATTTCCTGTAAGCTGCTGGAGCGACCTCCTGGGGGGGTCAGTGCTGTTTGGAATCTGTTACCATGCATTACTAGACACAAGTTGGATGACATCTGAAGTGACCTGAAGTAAATCAGCCAGAGTAGGAAAAGCTGTGGAAAAGCAGGCTGAGCTTACCCCGTGTTTCCTTCTTTTTCTTTAGCCTGGTGTTTTACCATCTTTTTTAACTAAAAAGATCCTTCTTGTTTTTTCAATCAAAATAAATATTGCATAATTATTTTATTCTGCAGTGGGTATAATGTTTCCCAGCAGTGTTTCTGCATGGAGTTTGCATGTTCTCCCTGTGCATGCGGGGGTTCTCTCTGGGTACTCCAACTTGACTTGCTCCTTAAAACTTGCTCCTTAAAACCTTTGAGTGGGACTGGTTTTTAACAAAGAGCCACTTTCCCTGCAGAGCCAAGCAGCGCTGTAGTCACACGCTGATGTTTTACCAAGAGAAGCTTTCATGACACTGACCATCATAATCATTGGAGCAAACACCAAGCATCACCCCTAACTGTGATAGTTTCCAACCTGTCCCTAGTCCAGGAGCTCTCTGGTGATGCAGGAAATAACGCACCTCCCCCTTCTGCTGCCTGCATCGCTGCAATACCTCCACCATCTGCTCCTCTTCCTTGATGACACGATTTGGAAGGTCAGAAAACAGCTATAGGTCTTTACCAGGCAGCTACTAAAATAGCTGGACTTGGCTTCATCAAGGGAAAACAATTCAAAGGTAAAAATGTGACTCAGACCAAACCACTTCATGCTGCAGGGAATTCACCGCTGAAGTTAGAAACATTCTCTCATCTCACAACCAACGGACTGCCCTCTACTTCTTTAGCTTAGCAAAAGCATTTACTCTGGATCAGACTTTTAGGTAAAAATAGCTGAATGTTAGATTTTAATGGACACCTTCATAATTGCAATGACAGACCTTATTTAAATCACAGCTCAACCAGAATGTCTCTGATTTCCATAGTTGGAGGTCATCACTTTTTGACATTATTTAATATAGAGCTGTTCACTTTAAATCCAGTGTCCTTTTGTGCATATTGCATCATGATAAAAACCCTTAATAAACATAAAACAGATGGTCTATTAGTGTCTGCACTGCAAAAACAAACTAGAAATATGTCTTAAATTAAGTGTATGTACCCTTAATTTGAGCAGGTAAATAAGATGATTTCCCAATTGTATGAGTATTTTTACTCTTAAAATACAATAATCAGTTACTATGCACTGGAAATAAGACAATGCAATTGTTTTTTTTCTCCGTTTTTTTTTATTTATTTTTTTTTCCACTGGCAAAGTGTCCCACTTACCTCATCGATTCAACAATAAATCACTTATTTTAAGAAAAAATGACTTATTTACATTTACATTTTTTTGCAGTGTAACAGATGCTCTGTTAATGAAATCACCTGAGCCTCTCCACTCCCCAGCCAGGCAACAGTCAGTCTCACAGGGCTCCTCACCTAGCTTCACAACATCTTTGCACAGCATTCCAGGTATGAAGGGATCCTCAGTGTCATTGCTGCCACGGTGCACATTAAGGAACATCTAAAATAAAGGGCAAAATATTCAGGAAATGTTAGAAAATCAAACCTCAAATGCAGTTCCATGTACTTCAGAGAGATTAACACAACAATACCTAAATAGTGATTCTATTTATTTAACATCTAAGTTTGATTTTTGTTATGGTGGAGAACTGAGCTGCACATGGAAACTATGCTGTGAAATGAATGCTAGTAGCAACATGTTCTCAACAATCTGCTGCTGGTAAATAGTCTGTTGATCACATGATGGTGGTGCTAAGCTACATCGTAGCCACAGCTACAATGCCCAGAGGTGTCAGGCCAGCGGTCTCAGAGCAAACCTTTGGAGGTTACTTCCGAGCTTCTCCCTGGGCTCCGCCTCCTTTACACCAGTCAGGTGTCTCCTCCTTCAGTTCTCCCAGGCCTTCTTCTGAGGTTTTGAGGAGTTTTTATTTTTCCAGTGTTGCCAAATGTTTGAGATGGTATTGATAGAAAGAATGGAACTCGATGAAACCAGCTGGCTTCCTTAGATGCACAGCTTTTTACCAATAAGTGATCAGTTATAAACCCGTTTTTTTTTTTTTTAAGACTGAACTGGGACAGTATTCAGTGGCTCCTGTGGGTCTTTTTGTTGTCACCTGATGGACTGATGACCTTTGAGGGTGCCTATACCCAATGGCTGCTAGATAACCATGACCAGAGGAAGTTATTTAGACTGAAAGGGTGCTTTTAAACTGGATTATTTTTTCTTAACATGGGGTCAATCAAATTGAATTTATTGCAAATTGCTAATATTACAGATCTAACAGTTTCATGTTATGGTTTTTGTGTTGACTCTTTAGCAGCAAACCATTAACAGTATAAGTCTGTTTAGTGCAGCAATTTCTCCACATCTACTAATATTACTGCTTGGCTACTTTTTTAAATGAAAAACTAAGAAATTACATCAACTTAAATATTCAGAGCATTTACCACGAAGCTCCAAACAAATCAAGCAAAGTAGCACTTTGGCCATTATTTTGATGAAAGAATAACATTACTAGATAGTTGGAAGCTAAAAGGTTGGTTTTGCATGACATAGGCCCTTGAACACCAGAGAAATATTGATTTCTTTTTGAAATATTGAAGAAGACGCTTTACTGTATTGTAGTTAGTGTTTAGACCTGAAGTTATCTTCTCCTTCACCATTGGTCTGCACCAAACTTCCCTTTGAGCTCCTTCCCCCTTGAACCAATTTCTGTAATTTTTACTGTAAAAAATACAGTGTGTACTTGTTTTATAATTGTACAAGGCATAAC